GAAACATATGTGAAGGCCGACTTCAAACAGATCCCCGGCAACCTGTTTTTCACGGCCAAGGATAAGTTCAGCGTTCCGGAGCATGTCCGCACTCAGAAGATGTCCAAATTTGCGAAGAAATTCCTGGTTTGGCAAGCCATCTGCACGTGCGGGAAGCGGAGTGCACCTTTCGTGACCCAGGACACGATGAACGGACAGGTGTACATAAAAGAGTGCCTCCAGAAGCGGCTGCTTCCTCTCCTGAAGGCCCACAACGTCCCAACAATCTTCTGGCCGGAATTGGCCTCATGCCACTACTCCAAGGACGTGCTGAAGTGGTATGCGGACAATAAGGTCAATTTCGTGCCGAAAATGTTCAACCCTCCCAACACTCCGGAGCTCCGCCCCATCGAGAAGTACTGGGCGATTATGAAGCAGCACCTTCTTAAACGACCTAAGGTAGTGAAGACAGTCGAGGAACTGAAGAAAGTATGGGTTTACATGCAAAAAACGGTTGATTCACAGGTTGTGCAGAATCTTATGGCCAGGGTTAAGGCCAAGGTGCGGGCATTTGCGTAAGGACTGTAAATAAAATACGAGTAAAATGGTAAAATGAAGTTTAATAGTTATTTCTCAATCCCTGAAAATTTGATGGCAATCGGATGAAAACTCGAATTTTGCGAATCAATTTTGTGTGTGGCAATTTCATCGTGGACACCCTTTATGTCAAAGATGGATTCCGTCACGTGTAAGATTAGGTATTTCTAAGTGTGTAATTTAAACTTATTTCTTATTAAATAAATTTAATATCTGATGAGATCATACTATCAAAGTTATTACTACCAACCAACTGATCATTAATGATTGATATTGACATAGATAATCAATTTTTCATTCATTTCCGGTTCAACAACTGAACTTGTGTTTCGTGTGACCGTTTAATTTACTGGCAACTCTGAATGGGTACGTTGTAAGGTTCCTTCTGAATAATTTCACCATGCTAAAATCTGTCAAATTTAATGTCAACCAATCTGTCAACTTATTCTCCTTTGTTTATATTCATCATTTTATTTACTATTAGCTTGTCCTATTTACTACAGAAGCCATTCAAACAAGCTCTATGACAGGCCAGAACATTTCTCGCGTCACTTTTCAAATAGACCAATGTAACAAATCTGTGCCAACATTTCAAAGGGGCGTAATTGCATTTGTAAACAATGGCTTTAGCCGTTGATTTCTCGCAAATAAAAGCTCACTCATGAAGACTGATTGCATCAACAGGTAGAGGAATGTTTCCTCTTCCAGCTAGCATTGTTAATTTGGAGAAGTAAGCTTTTATTTGCGAGAAATCGACGGCTAAAGCCTTTGTTTACAAAAGCAATTACGCCCCTTTGAAATGTTGGCACTGAAATGTAAACAAATCGAGTTAAGCGATACAAACTATTGCTCTTCTATCATTGTATGTGATACAAAAACATCCATCAAAATTTACTTTCATTTATTTGAAATAATCATTGATCACAAATTGTCCAAAGTACAGTTTGAAATGATGGGTATATGATTGTTACTTCGGTCATTCGGACTGCCTAACATGATTGGTGCTCATTTTCCAAAGGCGGGGCCAATCTAAAGTAAGGTACTATACTCTGAAATCTGTGAAAGGGAATCTAGTATCATGTAGACAAAACGTCCAATGTAACATTCATTGATTATGTCATTGGCCGGTGCCAATGCTTTCTAACACCCCAATGGGTCTGGGTTCAATCCCAGCCGAGGTCGGTGGGATTTTTCTGAGGCATAAAAATCTCTGGTCACGTCATCCTTCGGAAGGGAAGTAAAGCCGTTGGTCCCGGCCCATGTGTGTTGACTGGGTGCGATATCCTACGCAGGTGTGGAAGCTGCCTTCCTGCACATTCGATTGCCGTCTATGGATGGCAATCGATTTCCGTCGGTGATTGGCACTAGATTGCGGAACAGAGACCGACGTTAAATAAAGGAAAGAAAGAAAAAAAAAATGATTATGTCATTGAGAAAAATTGTCCAATGAAACATGTCCAATGTACAACTCGACTTGTCAAAACGTTCTATGTGGTTTTTTCTATGTTGTAGCATGAAATTCAAAGTAAAATTGTGATTTCACCGTTTCATCTGAATTTTCAACGTTATTACACACTGACTACATTAAAAATAGTATTACAAAATGTATTGTTTTTAAACAGTTAAAATAATAATCTGTCGAACTTCAACTTCGATTTTCTCAAAATAGTGGATATGTTACATTGGTCTATTTGAAAAGTGACGCGAGATTTCATATTCATCACCGCAAGCAATTGGGATCACACGTCACCATGCCCGAGCAAAGCTGGAGATCAAATTTAAATCAAAACTTGCTGTTATATATAGATGAGGAGAGATGACTGATTTGTATAGCTGTATTTTACTGGTAATACTTAAATCGTTTTTCTATCGACATAGAATTCCATACTTCTTGGCAATTTTCATGATGTCATTTGTCAATGTGAGAGTAGAACTAAAGTTTGTAATTAATAATCTCGCCAAGATATTTAATCTCCCGAACGCGATCAATAATGTCATCATAAATGACAACAGAGACGTTCTAATTTACTCGATTCCACGAAATTGCTATACATTTTGTAGTTTGACTTGTATTCAATTTCAACTGCTTGTACTTAAACCATCTACTTAGAGACTTCAAATATTCATTCAAGTGTGAAACGGAATCATCTAAATCAAGAGCAAATTTTCATTATGTCGTAAGTAACATTCGCACCAATCCGATAAAAATATAGTTTTGTTTTGATGACCGAAAAGTTATTCCTATTTTCAATTAAACTCGTATAATCTCATAGTGATAGCAGGGTTCTAATCAAACAAATGCAATTTGCTAGCTTTCATGTTAAAAAATACTGGTTTTTAAGTCAAAAGTTATTAAACGTCGTTTGGTGGCCCCTATTGTTACTTAAGTCAAAGTGTATTTACCAGGATATTCGGGAGAATTATCAATTACGTTTCCTTACGTGCAGCCCATTCATCATTTTAGGACCACCGAAATCATCTTAGCAACAAACAGTTCGATTTATTCACTTTAATAATGAGAAAGCGAAACGACGAACGTACACTTTTCACGGGTTTCTCAGCGCTGTTACTTAAGTCAAACGGCATCTCCATAGAAATCGGGTGACTTAAGTAACATCGAAAACTATTTTGATCGGGAGGTGATTACGTCAAAAAACAATTTGACTGGTAAATAAATTTAAAAATGGTATGTGATCCTATATTCGGACAGTATATAGCGTAATAGCAGGAGCATCGATTGACACTGATAGCTCGACTTTGTTTACCTTTGTTACTTTCGACGTAATGAAAATTTGCTCTTGAAATCATCTTAGCTGCAATGAATAACACAGTATCATCTGCAAAAAGATTTATGTCTCAAAATCGTAAAACACGTCGCATTTCATTAATATACCTACATAATAAATAGTGGCGCCGGTGGTGTATAGTGGTAAGCGTGATTACCTCTCATCCCAGCAGGCCTGACTTCAATCCCAGTCGGCGTCACCGGATGTTCTGAGGCATAACATCTGTGATCATGGGAAATATAGCCGTTGGTCACCGGCTAAAGAGGTGATGGGTCGATAGGTAGGGTCCAGGTGTGGGAGCTGCCTCCCTGGCGTCGTTAGCATTGGTGCTCAGCACGGAAAACAAATCTAGGGGAAAAAAAAATACATTCCCGATGGAAAAAATATATTCCCGATGGAACTGGAAACAGAATCATTAAAAGCAGTCCGTTGAGCTCTGTCAGACAAATAGCTTTCAAACCATTTATATGCATTACTCGAAATTGATCTTAATGATAAGGGTCCAGAAATTGTTTCAAAAGCGCGTTTTAGATCCAGAAATCAGCAACAAACGTACCCTTACGCCCCAAATTATTTTTCCACTTCGCTAATACCAAATCCAACGCAGTTTCACAAGGATATATTCACCTACTTGAAAACGTGAAATTTGTCTTGCACAGTTTGAAAAACTAGTGTAAATTTCTGTTCAATATGATCCACATAAATGGAGCATCACATATCATATGGTGTAAAGTTCTGATACATTGCATGACATGTTACAAATATTGTATGCAACTGTCCATCATATCTTGCGAATTGCTGCTTTGCGTGAAATGAAATATAAGTTTACCCGCATCAATGTTTACATCATTCAGTTACATACATAATTTTTGCTGTGACTATGTGCCAAACTTGTCGGATGCAGCTGCTGTTCGTTAGGATGACTCAACGTGCCACCCTTAGTAGGCTCCATTTACACAGTAATAATCACATTGCGTCAATGAGAGAAACTACTGCAATCAAGTAAGCTAATTATTTCACAGACTAGTTGAACTTCTATAGATTCGCATCGCTCGTTGCATCCATTGAGAAAGAATCGTTGCCGTTGTCATGTAATTCACCTTGACCCATAACGAAGTTAATCCCTCACTCGTAATATGCAAGCTTAATGCTCGGAAACGCAGTCATTGATTGCTTGCATTCAATAGTAGTTAGCACGGTTGCAATCGTGTTGGGAATCTTCCTACGACGACGTCATAAACATCCCGGTTCATTGTGCAACTTGACTTCTAGCCATCTTATCGCCCTGCTCTCGCTAAACGTCGCTATTATGGCGCACTTTCACTCGAGTTTTAACTAACTGACACTACGAGATTACGATGATAATGATAAGTTAGATAATATGTATGTTTGTGGAATCACGCAGCATCTCGTTCTCATCTTTAACATTTGCATTCATTTGAATAATTTATGAATTACGGGCGGTGGGAAAAAAGTCTGTCAGTACTTAACAGCGGAAGGTGTTTGCACTAATCGGATTGCACAGATTTTCAAAATCAGTCAACTCGTTGCACAGCTATGATGATAAATCAATCAATATCATCCAGGATTTGTCGGATTAATCATCCTTGTTTCCCCTGTGCTCTCATTTTTTTGCAGACAAGAAAACCGTCCTGAATGGCGTCTCGGGAAATTTCAAATCAGGCGAGCTGACGGCGATTATGGGCCCTTCGGGAGCTGGGAAATCCTCGTTGCTCAACATTCTCACCGGATACACGTAAGACCATTTGAGTGCGCACCTCTACAAAGCCTAATCCCACTTCCTCCCAGTAAATGACGAACATGTGTAAGCCTAAATTGAATTTTCAATTTCCTTCCCTTCTATTCCTGCCCTATGTATCGCTGCTGCGTTCAACCAATTGCACAACGGAACGGTAACAACCACTTTAGGAAAAATGGCGTCAAAGGTACACTCAACATCGGGCGCACCGTCGGAAGCAATAAATTGTGCAGCTATATCCTGCAGGAGGATAATCTGCATCCGTTCTTCTCCGTCCAGGAAATAATGATGATGGCGTGTGATTTGAAAATATCGTCAGGATGCCTGAAAAACGACGGCAAACAGCGATTGGTGAGTGTCTTTGGGCAGTGTTCACTAAGGAACAGGGTCGAACGACGATGGGAAAATTATTTGTTGAATCGTTAATTTTTTTAAACCTTTCTGATATAAGGAACATTTACTGACCAAAAGAGAAATTTTAATCAATCGCCGCAGTTCGACTCTGTCCCCGTGACCAATCAAATAATCCATAGCCAGTTTTCAGTTCAACCCTCTTCCATCCACACTTTTTCTCACCCCAGATTGACAGCATACTCGACACTCTGCATCTCAAGTTCACCAAACTGACACGCTGCGCAAATCTCTCCGGTGGACAGAAGAAGCGACTATCAATCGCACTGGAGCTTATCGATAATCCGCCGGTTCTCTTCCTGGACGAACCAACGACGTAAGTGTCTCCGGTGTTTCCACGTTTATTTTTTGTTTCTAGCAGCAGCCTGTGACCGCCGTGGATCGGTTTTCACCGAGAAAGGGAAGCGAGGGAATACCCGCTTTGAAAATTCCAATACTGTATACAGCAGCAAAGTGGACATCTTAATCTGCATAAGCGCCACAACAATGTAGGTGTGAGAAAAGAGACGAACCGCGCCACAAATGCCATCCACCCACTGACCATAGAGCGCGTGTATTGCTGTTTTGTGTTGCATGGTAGCTTTAGGTCTTTACTAGGGTGCCTATTGGGAGAGTAACGACATTTCATGAATTGGACAGGTCTTCTGCTCGATTGGAATGACGATTCCCAAGCCGTTGACATGTCTAATTTTAACATATCGTCACTCTACTTATAGGCACTCTAGTCTCTACGATGCCAGACCTGCCGATGAAGAGAGTTGAGCGGGAATTTGCGGAGAGCAACACGTGCTTTCAAAGTGTGATTCACAGCTTCGCTCATTGAAAGGTGAACATTTAAATCGAAGCGTTTGCTATACTGCTGTTCATGATGCAACGAATCCGAACGCTTATGGCAGCGAACTCTAATTATGGCTACACTAAAGTACGGCCACTGAGACTAGCTTAATAAGTGAATTGCTTTTACTCAATAGTTATGAACTCAGTAAAATTTTGTCAAAAGTTAATTTATAGGTAAACCTTTCAAAAGATCTTATCGGCATTGATCCATTCTCTTCATCGACTTTCTCTTTTGTGAATCACTCAACTACAACTTACCCTGTTGTATTTGACGTTTTGGAAGCTGCTTTATCAAACTATGCGATAAAAATAGATCGAAATCTATTAACGTAGCAGTGGTTATCATAAGAGAAAGTCAATTAAGAGATCGATCAAAGTAGATAGAACCTTTTTAAATGTTTATCGAGATTTGCTCACAAAGTGATTAGAATATTCTAAGCTTTTCCGGGAAAAACTTCTCGAATAGGAGTACAGTAATTCTCAAAGGCGTAGCCAGGTTTCGAGCTAGGGAGAGGTGAAAAAAAAATTACTATGGAAAATTTGGCCGGATGCCATTTTACCGAACGCCATTTCCCCGAAAGCCTTTGTGTTATTGAGTTTAGGGGTTCCAGTCGACCCCCCTGCCCCTCTCTGGCTACGCTCCTGGTAATGCTTCCATTAATGCGGTGGATGGTACCGTTAAACCACCTCTATTTCTCGACTGTACTTCAACCAATTGAGCTGATTTTCTGTAGATAACTAGTTTATACACACTTCATCTTCTTCTTGTTCGCATTTCGAGCTTATTGCTTAGCGCATATTAGCTTATTGCGTGCTCTCAACTTAGTGTTCTAAATGCACTTCCAATACCAATGCATGAATTTTTACATTGTGTGGCAAGCACAATGATACTCTATGCCCAGGGAAGTCGAGAAAATTTCCAACCCGAAAGATTCCCACGACCGGACCGGGAATCGTACCCGCCGCCTCCGGCTTGGTAATACCGTGCCTTTACTGACTAGGCTATGATGACCCTAAGTTTATGCACACACACCGTTTGAAAAATTCATGTAAATTTCTGCGAGATATAGCGCACATAAAATTAACGCTAGATTTGGCATAAATTTAGGCGATATTTCGTGTAAATTTAAGCGCAATATCGCAAAAATTTGCAATATTTTATACTAGCCTGTAAACGATTTAGCTGTTTATACCTGGTATAGCTCAAAATTAATCGAATAGAGATTTTACGCAAAAGTTATAATTCAGAATTTTTTTTCTGTGCAGTTTGAAAAAAAAAATGTAAATTTACACTAAATCTAGCGCACACACAATTATCGCACCCTTATTTTACGCGCGTTCATAAATTTACACGCTACTTTTTTTTTCAAGTCATGTAAAATTACAAACCATCATTGCGGAATTGTCGAAGATCGTGCAATTTTACTCCTCTTAGTCAACATTGTGATTTTTTTTATTCTTCTTACTTGGGTACCGTAAAACGGGGTATAATAAGAAAATAATGATTGAATTTTCTCTGTGTACTATTACTATTAGGGTATTACATTTGTATTATGGTATTATGGAGTATTTTTTTAATATGTTTGCATATTTTCCAAATAGGGGAAATGGATCTAATGTCGGCCTTAATTCCCCTAATATGAGCCCATATATAAATTCAGCAATCGACTAAATTTTCAATAGTGACCAAAATATCCATTAGTACGTCGCGTCCCAATGACGTATTCACATAGATAAAATTGATAAACAGCAGATTTTTAGTTATGGGCCCAATTTGAGATCCAAAGGCCAACATTAGAACCATTTACCCTACATGAACAAATAAACCAATTTTCTTGTTTTTCGCCTGATTGAAAAGACACTCATTAAATGTATTTCCGATAAAGTCATCAAAAATTCAATGTTGTTTTCTTATTGCTTATGACGATTCTTATTATATACTGATTCAAAATTTCTTATTTCTTGATATAAATTGTTTGAGATTCACGCATGGTTTTCAACATTCATCGAGTATTATGATAGCAACCTTAAAAAAAAAATTAAAGTTTGGTCACAAGCAGACCTAAACATACTCATTGCAGCTAAAATACTACTTTTTGAAATTATGAAACTATGAGATATTATAATAATAATTTGAATACGTAAGATACAATTGGAGGAGGTAAAGTTTTTGTTTGACACATACAATCTGTAAATTTCGCTTCCAGAGTGTTACAATTAGCGATTAACTAGGGGAATTTACGTATTCTCGGCAACCTAAGCAGCTACCTTCTTTCTATAGACTTTTTCTCTATGGAACGCACACATATGCAGTATTGGTTTGTTTACAATCTTTTGCTGCCAGCTGCTCTAACAATTTCAGTCAAAAGAATTGTCAAAAACTGTTTTGAAACGCTTTTACAAAGCTCCAATCTTCTCTAGTGAGAGCGAGTATTGTCGGCAACCAGTTTTTCTTCGGCAACCGTTCCATTTGAACTGCATGTAAATCTGCTGTTCTATTATCGGCAACTCGAAACCAGCTAGTTGTAGTGCGTGTGTTTCATTTCAAGAAAACCCTGCTAGATTGCTTTTTCTCAGTGGTAAAAATATAGTCAAATTGAAGCTGAAAGCATAAGAATCGTTTGGATGCATTCAGCGAAGTGTTTTCGTAAGAAAGTCCAGTGAAAATAGTGTTTCAATTTGGGTTGCCGAAAATAGTCTGTCATGCCGAAGCCGTCATTTCCCCTATTACGACTATTTGAAATATATTTTTTTTTAACTCTTTATTTGTTCCAAATTCAAAATAAATTACATTTCATTTTAACCTAGATGCTTCAGCCTTAATTGTTATGTATACATCTAAGTGTTTTTACATTGTTCCTACCTTGGAAATTCAGCATTTTAAACAGGTTTTTTTTTAAACCTCCATGTCAGTATAACAATTGAATTCATAAAACTTAAAACTAAATCTTATCTAAGTATAAAGGGAATTAATCGTTTCAATTGAGGATTGCAACGGTTTTTGCTTGAAATTATTAATTATTTTGTTGGACATTTGTTCTAAAGTCTCAACATTCGAAATTCTATGTACCTCAGTAGTACTGTACCAGCGAGGCAACTTTAAAATCATCTTCAGAACTTTGTTCTGAATCCTTTGAAGTGCTTTTTTCCTGGTAGTGCAACAACTTGACCATGTTGGCACAGCGTAAAGCATTCTTCTTCTTCTTCTTCTTCTTCTTCTTCTTCGCACTTCAAGCTTATTGCATATCGCATACTAGCTTATTGCGTGCTCTCAACTTAGTGTTCTAGATGCACTTCCACAGTTATTAATTGAGAGCTTTCGATGCCTGTACCATTTTTGCATTGGTATAATTGTGTGGCAAGTCCAATCATACTTCTATGCCCAGGGAAGTCGAGAAATTTTCCAACCCGAAAAATTCCTAGACCGGACCGGGAATCGAACCCAGCCACCTCCAGCATGGTCTTGCTTTGTAGCTGCGCCTTTACCGGCTGAGCTAAGGGAGGCCCCAGCGTAAAGCATGGCCGGTCTAAAAACATGTTTAAATATTAGAAGTTTATTCGTCAGGCAAAGTTTGGATTTTCTGTTTATAAGAGGATACAAAGATTTTATATATTTTTACCCTTCTTACAAAGAAGGGTATAGATATCACTTGAAAAACCGACTATCGATCCGAGGCCCGAAGGGCCGAGTGTCATATACCATTCGACTCAGCTCGACGAGATCGGAACATGTCTGTGTGTGTGTGTGTGTGTGTGTATGTGTGTATGTGTGTGTGTATGTAACGAAATGAATGCGCTCACGTTTCTCAGCAACCGCTCAACCGATTTGGACAAACTCGGCGCTAAATGATAGGTCTTGGGGTCCCATTGAACGCTATTGAACGGTTTTGGAATTGGTGAACCGGTTCCGGAGATATGGCCGGAATAAGATCCGGTGAATATGGACCTTCACGTTGGATTTAATGGACAACGTTCAAAACCATCATATACCATTCGACTCAGCTCGACGAGATCGGAACATGTCTATGTGTGTGTGTGTGTGTGTACGTGTGTGTGTGTGTGTGTGTGTGTGTGTGTGTGTGTGTGTGTATGTGTGTATGTGTGTATGTGTATGTGTATGTAACGAAATGAATGCGCTCACGTTTCTCAGCAACCGCTCAACCGATTTGGACAAACTCGGCGCCAAATGATAGGTCTTGGGGTCCTATTGAACGGTTTTGGAATCGGTGAACCGGTTCCGGAGATATGGCCGGAATAAGATCCGGTGAATATGGGCCTTCACGCTGGATTTAACGGAAAACGTATTAAAACCATCATGCGACACATCAAATTACTACAGAATTCAAAAATAAGATCAATGCAAGTCGTGTTAAGTGTTCCAGACCACATTGGACACACTAGGACATGTTCCGGGTACCCCGGGGAAGTTGCTTGAATATGAATTGAATTAAAACCCATTAAATCACATTAAAATACGAT